GGTTGCATGATCGGCTGGATTCTCATCTGTCCTCACGTAGCCAAATGAAATTTGAACGTTCATTTCTTTCATCTTCTCGACGTCGTTGCGGATTTGTCGAAGTCGATTGGTGACATAAACTCCTCCTTTTTCTTTTCCTGGAGGTAATTTTATCCAGGCTTTGACGATTTCACTATCGGTGAGAAGATAAGCTTTGTCGACTTTGATATTTCCTTCTATGAGGGCTGATATCGTGGTTATGGTTGATGTGACTCCCATGCATGCTGCTTTGAGCTCTAATTTCGGGATGGTCCATTTTTCCTTGGCTGGCCGAATGCTGGATTTTGCATATATAAGGTGTGATCCTAGAGTATTGACGATGAATGTGCATGAGGCAGTTGCGTGTATGCTGGCATCCGTAAAGGTGATAATTGTATTCGTTCCGCTTTTCAGGATGACGTTCCGTGGAATAGATTTGGTGAAGCCAATTGTCGATTCCATTAGATTATTCCATTTGGTTTCTTGATTGTCGTCTAGTTTGTCATCCCAATCGATGTGCTCTATCCAATTTTTCTGCTGTTCGATTTTTAGTGGCAAGACAAGTGGTGCCATCAGTCCCAGTGGATCGTAAATGCTTCCAATGAGACCGGAAATTGATCGTTTTGACCATTTTTCAGGTGGCTTGACGTCGCACTTGACTTGAAGTTGGTCTGTAGTTGACTTCCATTGAATTCCTAGTATTTTCATGTCTTCTTCAATTGATCGGTCTTTTTCATCAAATATTTCGTTTAGTTTGTTATCATTGCTTCTAAACTCTCTGATGTTCATGCTCATTTCGTTGAACAGATTCTTGATATCGCGATATTTCTTCTCTAGTTCTTCCGGGGATTCTTCATCGGTTGTCACCAGAAGATTGTCAACGTATAGCTGATTGCTGATCTCCTTTGCGATCGCTTGCTGTGAGTGTTCTATGTGGTATTTGATTGTAGCTCCGAGTAGGAATGGTGAACAATTTAGTCCAAAAAGTACACGTCGAAATCTCAGGATCATGAGATTATCTCCAGATGCTGGTTTTGATGTATCGTGAACCCATAAAACTCTGGTTGCATCTCGATCATCTTCATGAAGGTGAACCGCAAGAAAGGCTTTTTCCACGTCGGAAACGATTGCTGTTTTCCCGGTTCGGAATCGGATGAGAAGTTTCTTTAAATCAGGCAGGATGACGTCTCCTTGGTAAAGTACGTCGTTGAGGCTCAGGTTGTTTCGAAAATGTGAGCTTCCATCAATCACGATTCTGCATTTAGTCGTTGTTTTATGCGGCGTGATGACAGGTTGGTGTGGGTTGTAATGGACGATTTTCGAGATGGGTCCATTTCCCTGATCATTGACCTTTTCGATGATCTGCTTCTCCAATTGATCTTTGAACACTTGATCGATTTGTTGAAGTATGGCTGGTGTGTTCTGTTTCAATACACTGACCAGTCGCTTGTGCGCGATAGCGTAATTTCCGGGAAGTTGATCTGCATCTTTTTTGAACGGTAGACGCACGAAGTATCCATCTTCTCTCTTTTCGATGGTGGAATTGAACGTTTTCCATACTTCTTCAACTTCTTTCGCTTTTTCTTCTTTTGTGGAACCTGTGAATTCTGCTGATTCGTTGTCAGTCTTCGTCACTTCATTCCATTCGATGGTGTCGTCTCCGGAAATTATAATGTTGCTCCGACTAATTCCGGTTTCGTCTTCGATTGATTGCTTGATCGTCTTGCCTATCACGGTCATCCCAAATTCCGTTTGAATGAGATGCAATCCGGATGGAAGTTTAATCATTGATCCGTTCCAGAATGTTGTCAAATGGTCCATACCAATGATCATGTCTGGTTCTACAGCGGCTAGATTGTGTTCATCCTCGTTGAATTTCGTTTTTAACGTGGCCATGAACAGCTTGTCTTCTTGACTTATATCCGCTTTCCGTATTGTTCCGACGAGTTGTTTTGTGAGCATTGCCTTAATGGTTTCGGTTCCATTTCGAATGAGCATTTTCAATTCCACAATTTCACTCGTATGTTGTGTCAGTTTTTGTTCTCCAAACGTTTGAAGAACGATTTTCGAGGTTCCGAGTTTCGTCAGGTTCCAGCTGTCAGCAAGCTTTTCCGTGCAGAATGTGTTTTCTGCTCCTGAATCGAACATCACTGTTATTTTTTCCCATTGGTCAGTCTTTGGATTGAATGCCATGGCCTTGATGGTTGGTAGAATTCCCGATTGTGGCCTTGGGATAAATTTGATCTCGGACGAGTTTTCTGATTCGCATGGCAATTCCTTCTTGCTTTGAATGGTGGCATGCGTTATATTCGGACTGCGATTAGACGAATGTACCGATCGTCTATTGTTGTTCTGGTTTCCTTGGTTTCCAGAGTTCTGATTGTCGACTTCCGTAGTCTTCAGACACAAATATTGAATGTGATCTCCATTGCATTTCCAGCATTTGATTGAAGTCGGGCATTCGTTCGATTTGTGATTTTTGTAGCATTTCCAGCAACGGTTTTTTCTTCTGAGTGCGTCCCGTTTCTGCGTAATGGATATTGTGCATTCTTTGTTCAGATGATTTCCTTCGCAAAAGACGCACGAAAACGAGCTTCGATGTCGATTATCCACTATTCTGTCTGATTTGGTATCAGTTTCATTACGATATGAATTTTTGGGTTCGTATCGATGGAAATCATGTCGTTGATTTCCCAATTCCTGTCGATATTTTGGTTGTCTTGGCTTCCCTTGGTGATATAGTTCTGGCCTTTCCTGATGTCGATAACTATGACTTTTTTCAGCTTCGTTGGCGCTTTCTGGCATCCATGATTGAAGTTGTTCTTCTTTGTTGATTGTTTTCTCAATCTCGTCCATAATTGCGTCCAGATCCCATGATCTGTCGTCGTTGTCGTAATTCTCGGCACGATCCTCGAAAACTTTTCGTTGGATGGTTCCCGAAAACTTTCTTATAATCATTTCTTTGATTATTCGCGAATTCAAATCTTCGCCATGTTTGCGTAGTTGCTGAGTAATCGCGAATACTTTGTCGAAAAGGTCGCGTTGATGATTCAGCTTTGTTCCTTCTGCTTTTTCGTTCGTCAGCAGTTCGCTGAGTTGGCGAATGGCGGCGTCTTTGTTGTCGTACCTCTTTCTTAGTGCGCTCATTGCCATTTTGTAGTTTTCCTCTCGGAATTCAAATTTCTGAATGACTTTCTTCGCTTGTCCTTGTAAGCTTTGTTGCAGATAGTTGAGCTTTTCCAGGTCGGATATGTTTCTTTTGTCGATAGTCTCTTCAAATATTGTGTAGAAATTCGTCCATTCTGACAGATTTCCAGCAAATTTCTGGATTGGAATAGGTGGCAGTTTGCTTTCTTCTCGTCGTTGTGTAACGTTTGATTCCGATGGCTCTATGCTGGGTTGTTCCAATCTGATTATTGTCTCGATTGTCTTTTCGTCGTCTTCCAGCTGGAACTCCTGGTCCTTTGCTCTTTGGATTACGTCAGTGGCTTTATCGATGAATTCGTCGAGGGTTTTCTGGCCTTGTTCATCACAAGCTACTTGGCGGGTTGCTGTCATAAGCTCTTTAGTTCGCTCTTCGAGGTCGCTCCTGTTTTGGATGATGTGTCTCAATCGATTTGAGACTTTTCTGGCTTCTATTTCCGTGATAGATTGATGACTTTCTTCTTGTTTCTTCAGGACTGATCGCATTTTTTCTGCGTCGATAAGTTGTTGTGCCAGGGAGTTCATTGAGCGTGTGGCTGCCGTCAGGTAATAGCGAAGTTCACTCATTTTTAATGAATGACTGTGTAGTTTTTTGGAAGGACTAACAAATGGATGGATGGCTTGATGGTTTAGGACTCGATTTCGATCAAATCGATGTTCTTTGTGTTGTTAGTATCGTGCAAAGCGTTGGAGTATGAGTTGTGCCACGCGGGTCTTGCAATGTTGAGAAAACGGACCTTCGATTTGTTGTAATTCGAAGATGAAGCTGGATGGCCGTAGTTGTGGTTGAGTCGTTTTCTTTCAGGATGGCTTTTGGTTGTTGACTTGAACTTGTTGGCTTGATCTTTCGGCGGCATGAATTCGTAAGTCGTCGATGCACCAAATTTATTAACCAGTAGGAGATGGACAACCTCAAACTTGGGTAATTAAACTTTATTGTAAAAGAAATAAATTAAAAATAAGTTAAACATGAATTGGACATAAATTGAATATAAGCTGAACAACAACCTACGAAGGGAAAGAAAGTGAAAAAATGGGCGTTGAGGCTCCCTTTTATAGGGGCACACGAATGCAATATAAAAGTTACACTGTGTGCGTAGGTGGCTTTGGTGGCGTGTGGCTTTGGCGGTACAATTTAATAATAGTTTATCAATTTTAAACTTTCAATAATGTGCTTCAGATATTAAATTGTGATGGCGAGGAATGATTTGTGATGGCCTTTAGACTACTTTCCGGTAGTCATTAATGACAAATGGCACTTTACTCGTTGTATGTATTTAAAGTTGGCCTACATACATATAATTTCTGAAAACAAAAAAAACGAACATTTGTTATGTTACTCATGTCAACTGACATATGTTTTTTATGATTGACCTGGTGATGCGAACAACCGAAGACGTCGCTTTTGAATTATTACAACTCGATTGAAAAGAGCGAAATGTGAAATTTGAAAAATGGGCAAAGTGCGAGCCGTGTAAATGAGTCTGCCACATCTTGTCATCATAGTCCCCCCCGTGTGGCGATCAAAATCGAATCAATGAAAATGTTGGGTTGTTCTCGTAGGCCCCCCGTCACATGTCGCGACGTGCTCTACCGCACAATCGCTGGCGGATAGTAGGCGGATCTCGGAGAGGGCTACAGAGACAACTGCGAAATGATTAGTCTGATAAGTTGGGGTGAAGTCGTGTGCAGTTTTCGTAACGATTCCACCTACTATTCATTGGAATTTTTGTGAATCCTTTCGATTTTTCTTCATCATCGAATCGATGTAATCGGCGATGGAACGCGTACAAATCGCCGTCAAATCGCAGCCGGCATCACACCAAAAAATTAATCATCGCACATGCTGCAATTTGTGCCACATCAAACTGGGTAGGTATTTCAAATATGATATGAGTAATCTCTTTACTAAATGCTTATGTTTAGAAAGATCAATTGTTTTTCACGTATGAATTTAATAGATTAACTACTTTTATTTTATACACATTCATCCCAATTTTTCCAATCTCGAAAATCGTCCTTACAGGGTGTCATTTAAGTTCCCGCACAACTTTGAAGACGTATATTTCTGAAACTAAAGGTCCAAATCAAACGAGACTCGAAATATTTTTTATCTATAGTATAACAAATATTTATCTATTAACTCTTTTCGATTCGGCCTCCTTTCGGAGCTATGACTTCACAGAGACGCTTCGGGTAGGATGCGACTGTGGTACGCAGGTATTCGATGGAAAGATTGTGCCATTCCGCCAGTAATGTCTTCTTCAGAGTCTCTACACTTGAGTGGGGTTTTGCGTTGACCTTCTCCTGCAAGACCCCACACGGAGAAGTCAAGCGGGTTCAGGTCTGGGGACCAATCAGGCCATTCGGATGACTTGATGAAGTCGGGAAAATGGGTCTGGCACCACTCCTGAGTAGTTTTGGCAGTGTGGGCGGGTGCTCCGTCCTGTTGAAAGACCCATTTCTGCCCAACGAAATGCGTTTGGGTCCAGGGCATCACATGCTCCTCTAAAAAGTCCCGAACGTAGACTTCTTTGTTCATTTTCATCCCCTGATCTGCAAAAACCAGGGGCGCTTCCCGGTTGAGCAGATGGCACCGAAAACCATCATACTGGCAGGATGTGAGGCTCGATGTATTGTTCTGCTTTTCTCAGAAGCTTGCTGGGATGTCTGGGCAAGTACTCGATGGTTTTGTGAGTTGAATGCCGCCTCCACAGTGAATAGCTTCTCGTCGGAGAAGACAGTGACGAGATGTTCTCCAGACTGCGTGCGAGCAAGAAGTTGTTTTGCTTTTTCGAAGCGTCTCTGCTTGTTGACGGCCGATAGAATTGCCGCTTTTTGGACACGATATGGGGTCAGTCCAAGCTTCGTTTTGACGATTTGTTCCATAGCGAAGATGCTCATTCCCACGTCTGACGCCATCTTTCTCATGCTCCTGTGGAGGTTTCGCCTGATCCTCGATTTGACGGCGTTTATCTTCTGAGGAGTGGTTACTGAGACGAGTCTTCCTTGTCTGGGACGGTCACTGGTCGTATTTAGCTCCTTGAAACGTTTGATGGTGTCGCAAACCGTTCTACGAGGCACAGCGAGGCGTTCAATGATGTCTCTCGGGCTCACATTTTGCTTATGAACTTCGATAATGGAAGCGCGATGGATGTTAGCCTTCGCCATTTCTCGGAAACACATCCGAATGAGGTAAAACTTGGAAAGTAAGTAAAATATACCTTATTTAACAAAAATAAATTGTATTGGTGCACGAAAAGTGCGCCAGCCAAGCTCTTCATGGCGTCAAACTTTTGTGCGGGAACTTAAATGACATCCTGTATTTGGTATATCCGATTTTATTTGAGACATTATGTATTGTTTTCTTATAAAACGGTCAACTTTCTAATTTCAGCTGTAAAATTGAGTAAAATAAGTTTTATAAAAAATGCACATTTTTTGTTTTGTTATCCAAAAGATTCGGGGGCTCAGTTGGAGAGTCTGCGATTAATCGACATGGGGGCTCCCGGCGGGATGATAGAGGGGGGCAAACGATGCTAATTGAGAATCGTCGTCAAGAGAAATATTACACACAACTCGTCACTACTCATTTAATTGTTCACTCGACTTTAATGAAAAATTAAAATGATGGGTGTCTTTGAATAATAATTGAGATTCATGTTTCAAAAAATCCTATTTTTTAAAAGAGCAGCTGGTGCATAAAATGCCATATGAGGAAACACAAAATCAATTTCTTTTGTATTGCAGGCGCCGCATTTCTGGGATTTATTGAGGCGGTGATTGCGGTTTCAGTGCTCATCGGAGCTTTGCAACAAGTTGTCTGGAAAAATGATCATAAGTTAACCGGATCGTGCATTGACACGTAAGTGTTTTATGAAATAATTGTACGAATTGAAATATTTCTGTTTTCAGACTATTTCGTGATTGTCACATATTTCTCTACAAACATTTTGACATCACCGTCTATTTCGATTATGTTGTCATTATTATGATGGTGTTTATCATTATATCGGTAAGTATTTGTCTAAACTCGATTTAATATTTGGTTATTGTGAAAATTGTAACCGCCCAGTTCCCTTCAATTTCATTTGAATGCCAAAGTTTCAACATTTTTTTTTCGTTTCAGGTGATATGTTTGTTTTGTGGAGTATTCAGCGATACGTCATGTCTAATTCTACCTCACATCGTGGTCCAAGCAATATTCCTTCTCTTTTCCATTGGTTATTTCATTCTCTACGCCTGGTCATATTTTTACGGCGACTTGTATACACATAAACGAGAATTTATGGTTGGCGTTTAAAATGATTTTTTTTTGACACTAGGATTTCAGATTCAATCAATGTTCGAACGCATGTGGCTCGCCACTGTGCTCTTAATTTTATCAGGATTGCAATCCTATCTTTTCTCGTCTGTCATTCGATGCAGTATGTATTTAGCGGTGATTTTTTTTTAGTTTTTCATGTTTGAATTTAAAACCATTGTTAGGATATCGAAGAAAATCGGCGCCGACGGGAATCAGCTTTTGAACGATGTAGTGAACGGGTTCGAATTGCTAAAGAGAACGGATTGTGGAGGACAACTAGTTGGGGAGGCGGATTCCAGCAATACAAGGGCCAATATGACATGGAGAAACCGAAAAAAGAGAGCAAGAGCAAAGGTTTTCATGTTCAATGGAACACTGATGTTGAAACGGGATTAAAGAAGGTGGAACCAAAAATAGAAATAATTGAATTGGCTAGGTTGGGATTTCATTACGAATAATTTTACAACATCTATTTGTAGAACGGAATCAATTGATCCGTCTATCACACAATTGAGCCCTATTCCGGAAGATGAGGTCAAAAATCCTGTTCCGATAAAAACCAGGTAAAAGAAAACGGGTTGATTATATAAAATCGAAACGTCGAATTGCAGCAAAATATCCCGAACATCGACGAAACATGATGATAGAAGGGATTCAACAAATTCAACAGGATCGAACAGAGTTCGGCGATCTTCAGAATCGCCGCGGAAAGATGAGAAGAAACCACGTTACGTGAAGAAAACGTCATCTGAAGGCGCGAGTAAACTTGAAGATGAAGTTCGCCGAATGTCAAAAGATCATCATCAGCCTCATGTTCAAAGGATTTCGTCAAAAGAGAAGAGCAGCTTAATAAATGAACCAACACGGTAGTAATTTTTTATTTGAATTTTCCGAATAATTGAGTTAAAATAGAATGGAACATACTCATCGAAGAGCATCTTTGAAGAAGAATAAGTCTGTTGATAGTGGAGATGTGTACGATGAAGTTGTTTCATTTTATAAAGATCGCCATCACAGAAGAAGGTAATTCGACTCAATTATATATGTATTACAGTTGGTTAATATAGATCTTCTGATCATGGAGTAACGACACGAAGTAAATCCAGCAGATCTCCAGATAGTACGTATGAAATTATTTGGAAAAATTGGGCAAACATTGAGTAGTTTCTAAAAGGGGCAATCTGTTACCTCGCAAAGTCTGTCTGATTTTTCCAAGTATTCAGGGTTGTTAAATTTTGGGCCCGGCCGGCCGAAAGCCGGCCTCAGGCCGGCTTTCGGCCGGCTTTTTTTCGCTGTCAAATTTTCGGCCCGCGATTCGGCCCCCAACTCCGTTGTTTACGGCCGCACGGCCGAAGCGGGAATTCAAAAAAAAGCCGAAAGCCGGCCGAAAGCCGGGCCGGCCGGCCGGCTTTCGGCCCCGGCTTCAATTTACCAACCCTGCAAGTATTGAATAAATTGGCAATTATTCAATCTATGTATTTCAAAATATAAATCCTTTTTTTTTTTTCAGAAAAAGATATTCCAATTGTGAAGAAAGTCTCAATAACAGCTTCGAGTTCTCCATTTCCGCTCATATAACAGCAGAAACAATCCAATTCCTGATCTCAATTCCGTGTTCCATTCAAATATGAATGTTTTCCAAAACGAGGTAGTTCACGTTTCCTGTTTGATTATGTTGATCAAATGTCGTCTTTCACTTTTCATTATATTTTCGATAAAAAATTCACTGAATGCACTTTTTATTAATCAACTAAAAATCTGCAGTTATTATACATACGCACTTACTGGCTAATAATTAAACGGCTAGTCCATACATGATCTTCGCTTTTCTTCAAATCATCCAACGTAATGGTGATTCCGCGCTTGAAAAGCTCCGCAAATTCGACAGCAGCCTTAGACGGTCCGCCCGATGCAACAGCGATCACACGATTGTCTCTGCAAAAATATTTATATGCATATTTGCTCGTACAACAGTAACGAAAACCAACTTCAAGTAATATTTGACGAAATTTAATTCTTCCGGGTCGCCAAAGTACCATTCACCGTTGGCTCCATGAGAACATCCTGATTAGGAATTTGATAATTTATAAATTGTGAAAACATTGTGATGTTTGAAAACCTGAAAACTTAATTCCAAATTCGAAAAAGAATAATGACCAAAAGTAAGGCACAATTGCTCCAGGATGCGGTTTTCCAACAATCGAATAACCAAGATGTTGTCCTGAAATTACATTTTTTTGATATTTCAACGTTGAAACTTTTACCATGAGTTTGGGCCGTTTGGAAATGTTGAATGTTGATACTCTCAATATTCCATTGTGGCAACGGAAACGAAACAACATCACCGATTGCAAAAATGAAATTCTTATTGGTTCGGAACTTTTCATCGACAGTGATAAATCCTCGCGAATCCACAGCAATTCCACTTATTTTCAAAAATTCAGTAGCCGGTGTGATTCCGATTCCAACAACGACGAGATCTGCGGCAACTTCTACACCATTCGAAAGAACCACTGCTCGAACATCTCCATTTTCCCCACGTAGTTCAATTACATTGGCATTCCTTTCAAATTTGACGCCTTTCGATTCAAAACGTTTGCGATATCCCCGTCCAATCGAAACTCCAAACATTGGAAGAGGTTCTTCGCTATTGGCGATCACAGTAACACTCGCAGCATTCGCTGCAAGAGCTGATGCCATTTCCAGTCCAATAAACGATGCTCCAATACAAACGACATGTTTTCCAACATGTTTCTCCGCGATCTCATTCGCTTCGTGCACTTTACGTACATAAAAAATATTCTGAAAAGGAAATTTGATTTGGCATACTTCATGCATGTTGGTGAATAGAACTTTTTCATGTTACGCAATCAAATTAGGGGGATTTTCTTGCCTTTAAGTCGGATCCAGGGATCGAAAGCTTTCGAGGCTTTCCAACAGTGGCGATGATTAATTTTGAATATTGAAGAGATTCACCATTCAACAAATTTACTTGTCGCTTATTTGGTAAAACCTCAGTTACCTTTAATTAACAAGTAAAGTTAAAGTTGAATAAATAAAAAGGTTACAGTAGTGTTTAGTTTGAAACTGACGTTTCTCTCTTTGTAATATTCGTCATCACGAATTTTAATTTCTTCACCTTTGACAGCAGGTTTCTGGAATATAGAATAATGAATTATTGGCTTCAAATAATTAGTTGGAATTGTACCTTACTAAGCAAAACTCGATCGTAGGGTGTGAATGATTCCTCAGAAATTACAACTATCGGTGTTTGTAGACCGTTCAAACGCGAATGTTCAATGAATGTGGCAGTAGCAACTCCTGAATCAAATATTTATTGGTGGAAACATGATTTTGATCAAACCCCCTCCGATAACGATAATTGGGCGATCTTCACACTTCGCAACTTTTTTGCAAACTCTTCTTCTTCGATCACCGGTTTTTAATATTTTCTCAGTTGTTTTCAAAATAATTGAGTCATTTTCTACTCGAACATCAAAAGTGTGCAAACTGTCAAATCCCGGATATTCTTCAATATCACCAGTTTTCACGTTGAAGCATGCACCATGAAGAGGACATCTAATTCGGCCATTTGCGTATATTCCATTTTCAAGCGGAAAATTGTAATGAGAGCATAATCCATTGATCGCATAAAGACTTCCGTTATCATTAATCACCAAGATTTTACGGTCATACAATTCAAACATTTTTTTACTAAAATTACAAATATTTTGCAATTTTGTGTTAACAGTCGAATGAATTTGAAATTGAATTGTTTCTAAATGAATACTTACGTTCCAGGGGGCACATCGTTGATACTTGCGATAACTTCCTCGACTACTGGGGAACTATCTGATTCTACCATCGTTTCCTATAACAATTGAAGCATTAAATGCACGATGACAATTCGGAAATGATAACACAGTTTATAGTTGAGAGTTCAACGATAAATTCGAAATATTTGTATTTTATCAGTATTGTCGACAAACCCGAGATAAGCAAAACGAATTGTTTCAAACGTCCATGGTTTGAGGTAATATAACACGAAACGGATGACAAAACACAAAAAGTTGACGGCTCGAGAAATATAATAAACGTGTAGCAAACAAAATTTCTTATGATGAACTTTCGCCTGATTTCTGTGTAGTCACGACGATATGTGTACGTATGAAAGGCAGCGAAATGTCTGTGAACGAGATACTACGACGACAAACAATTCGCTTTGCTTTTTGTTCTTTTAGCAGAGGGACAAACTGCTTGTCTACAAATATACAGCCATAGTCGGCGTCCGGCGGCAGCTGTACGCGGGTAGATTTACGGGAATGCGTCTTTCGAAATGGTCTCGCTAGAACTAACAGGTTGTTTCAAATTTTATGGATCGATTCGATAATTTTTTAATCGAATGACGTTGGAAATTCAAGGAAATACGAAACTAATCAAGAAAAATGAAGCAGTTCACGTAAAAGCAGCAAAATAAGCATTCACGCGTGGCGAGACCTATTCGGATTTCAAATTAGATTGAGAGGTCTTTTCAATAATAAAAAAATTTATTCAATTAAAAAACATTAATAAGAATAATAAGGCAAACGATTTGCGTGAACTGGTCGATTTACTACTATACCCGGTTTGAAATGCGCAGAGAATAAACCATAACTTTTCCCCACTGTGATACTTCCTTTCTCATCAATATTATGGTTATGAAATATGACATCATAATTTTTAGTGTTCGCTAAAATTGTCCGAATTTGCTTTCCTGGTCAATGAAGGTGTTCACGAGAAATTCGTTGTAATCAAATGCTATGTTGATATCTCATGACCAAAAACTTCCGCAACACTCAAATGAATCATCATAATTGATTAATGCTGGTCCACCTCTCCCGAATTGTGTAACAAACTTTCTCTATATCTCTTCTTTTTATTTTTAGTTCGCGTTGTTGGTTTTTCTCACATATTGATTTGCGGGTTCATTTTTTTTCGTTAATTGCTTCGATATTTCAGATATGTTCAATCTTTCCGCTATATTTTTATTAGCTCTAGTCGCCGTTTGTTTAGCTTGCAAATGCAAGGAACAAACTACTAAGGAATCGTTTTGTAATGCTCATTGGGGTAAAATTTAGATAATCTCGAAATACAATTTGTTACTTCTTCAGTTTCCCATGTGAAAATACATGTTCGTGTTGGTAAACAAGGATTGCCACAGGGTTCTGCTAGAAAAGGGTTGAACAACTTGAAGTACACTGTTGAACACAAGAAAATCTTTAAGGTTTCAACTTATTTTACGTTAATACTTACTGTTTTTAACAGAAACCAGCCAATATGACATCACTTCCTGACGAAATCTTTACTCCTTCGGAGGCACCAGCATGTGGATTAAAAATTACGGCAGGAAAGGAATATTTGCTAGCTGGTTTAATTATATAAAAAGATTTTTTTCATAAATAACCTACAGGAAGAGTTGAAAGTCCTGGAGCGTTGTACACAGTTCTTTGCGGTCAAGTTCTTCCGGATAAAAGAGAAGCTGCACAGTACGAAAATGTTCTGGAATGGCAAAATGTCGGTTTTATTTATTCGAAGTACTGATTAATAATTGGTTTTTAGGTTCCACAGATATTAGCTCAACAATTGGAAAACATCAAGTGCTAAATGTTCTTTTGAGAAATATTTGCGTCATGTTTAATAAAATTATAATAATTCGAATTAGATCTAAATAATATGTAAATATTTTTAATGAAAAATAATAAGTCAATATTAGTACCAAATATATATTTATATATAAATATAGGGAAAATTGTCGAAAAACGAAATAGAATTCAGGAAATTTTTCAAGTCAAGATTGCAAACGACCTTTAAAGGCACATGTTTGAAAACCTTAAAATATTCAGCAGCAAAAAAATTTCACGATTAAGGACCATGTTTTTCTCGGTAATCCGTTCAGGAAAAAACACCTATTTCGGCAGACTATAGTGTAAACTTTCAGCAGAATCTAATTCGAAACAGCGCAAAATCTATTGAAAGAATACGCCAACTCTGCACGATTTTTCCGAGTTTTTCACCACTCTTTTATCGACATGACCAATTATTTTTCCGAGAATTTTTCCAAATTGAAGAGAAACCCTTGGTAATATTATAAATATGCTTATTCATGCGCATAATTAAATTAATTATCCGGATAAAAATTTAGAAAATCGTGGACTAACTTTTGCCGAAAATGGCCTAGAATTTTTGTTTAGTTTGCTCATCTTTCGAAAATTTCTGCAGAATTATCGGATTCGATTTCATTTGTATTTTTGATTAAAAGTTATTTAATTTTCAGCAACCAATCAAGTTTATCTATGCAAACAAAAGCAACAACGATTTATGTCGAATAAAATCGATCCACTGGCTGCTTTTGCAAATCCTGAAAATCGCACACCAGATAAAGAGTATATTGCGGCATTAGGCATGTTTTCTTTACATGTTTATAATTCTAATAAAAACAGCATTTCAGAAAATAAGTTAAAACAAGTCAAAAGTCAAAAGAAAATCACTTCTAAAACATTGATTGCTGATATCGAATCATTAAAAAACGACCAATTGTTTAAATTACTTTCTAATTCTCAAGAAGTTCCATTGACGAAAGAAGAGCAGAAGTTTGAGGTATTTATTCATAATTTTACGAAATAAAATTTGATTTTTAGAACGATTTTGTTCAAGAAGAAACACGTCTCGACAAAACTATCGAGCCCAGTTTGATAAGAAAAAAAATTGCACCACAAACGTGTGCCATCAACAAATCTGAGCTTGCTTCAATCGTAAAGTACGATCTGACTCAGGTGCTTCTTTTAAAATAACCGAGAAATTAGATATATAATTATTTTTAGAAACTTCACGAATTTTATCGTCAATTAGACGAAACCGACGAAGATCGTAAAGAATCATTTCAAATTCTTCAAGACATTCAAAGTGTAGGAGAAGAGCTTTCACGTCAAAAGTTAGAAGACAATGATGATTCAGAAATTGTTTTATCCCAAGTTTCGGACAAAAAGGTTCATTTTTTTTTCTTGTTAGTGGTATTAATTGTCATATTATATTCAGGGTGATTGTCGCTCATCGCCGACAGAAAATTCTAGTCAAGCTAGCAAATCGACTTAGAAAAGCACATGATTCGGTAAATTTTTTTAGAAAAAATATCATATTTATATGCTTTAGGGTCACTCAACTTTTGTTCAGTTATCTAAACAAGGTCAATCTCAAGAAAAATCATTCCGAATGCATATATTACCATACGTTTTTAACTCAATTCTTGATCGTACGTTTACTTCACCGAACTTATTTTTTAGTCGAAATTTATAGAAAATATACATAGCATTCCGTATTTCTCGTGTGTTCTCTCATGGGATGGAACGATTTCGCTAACAAATGACAGGTTTTAAAAACTGTTTCTTTTTTCTTGAAACAAGAGTTTTAGGAAAAAGTCGAAACACTGGGTGAAAAAAGATTTGACAAAGCTTTTACCACTTGATCCTTCTAATCGTGCAAATGTTTTCGAAGTTGCATGTTCGGACGCTTGTTTGGAACTTACTCACGAAAATTTAGCGATTCTAGTTGTGTTGTAAGTATATTTACGAAAATAAATGTAATTCAACTTTTTTCAGCTGGATTGAAGTGAATAAAACTAGCACTCCAACAAAATGTTTCGGCACGATATTCCGCGTTTATAAAAATCTTGAAATCAAATTGGCCAAATTCGTAAGAAAAACCGATTATTTTCTTCTTATACGTTGAATATCCTACAGATTGAAGCGCCTTCAATGATTGGTTACTGTAGATTAACTGATAGAAGATGTTTTATTGAAAATCAGTTATGCCTTCTTGTATTTTCAAAAGGCGCCGAAGTTTCGGCATATACTGTCAAGGTATGATCTAGTTGTGGAAGGAAAATAAATAATAATGATTTTTACTCACAGCCTGATTGTATTGAACAAATCGAAGACGTATTTGAGTGGTTTCCATCATTGGCTCTCACCAAATTACCTGGAGGCGCTGTCAATTCATCATGTCGCATCAGTGGTGGATACAGATTTAGTGCCGTCGGCTTGGATACTGGAATTCTCATCGTATCCGTGTGTGTTTTTGAAGGAAATGTTATTCTCGACAGTATTCGCTTGAAATTTGGTTTTCCCATGACAGTTGTCGAGTTTTTGCCTGAAATCGCCCCAAACGTTCAACGCATTTTATTGTCCTCTTATATGGGTCCTGCAGCGATATGGAGAATTCATTTCGAGGTTTCATAATATTTTAAATATTTTAAAAATTAAGTAATGTTTTCAGAATGACAAACTTCGATACGAACCTGAATCAATTTTAGATGATTCTCAGTATCACGATTCGGTACTCTGCGCTTGTATATATAGATTTTACCATGGCGCTCCACCTTGGATTTTGCTTGGAACATATTCAGGGGTAATTAATTAAACCGTTTTTCCCCTTTTTCAAACGTGAAATTTTCAGAAAATTCTACGATACAAGTTGCCAATGCCTACGACCAATGTTCGGAAAACAGAACGATATCTTAAAATGATTGGTACACCTTTTATGGCACTGAAGAATAAACCAATTTATTCTATAAAGGTAAGTTGTTTGTTGTGAAACGGTTATTTGGAAATATTAACATTTAAGCAATCCGGACTGAATGAGATAAGTGTAACAACTCCATTTGGAATGACAGTTCTTCGCGAGGATATCAATGGATTTTCTACATCACCATTCGTAAAAGCCCTTGAAAACTATCAGTGGAAAATCTTGAGAAAAAACAAAAAGAAACGAGCTGATTTCGATTTGAAAATGGTGCAAAGAATCTCTATGGAATCAGATTCATTAGAATGCCGTCCACGGGGTAAATCGTAAGAATTAATACCGGTGAAATAGAGAGATTTTTAGCGGGATCCACAGTTTCAAGTATAACAAATCGAACTCTCGAGGAGGAATTGATAGCGACACGACGTCGTATGACGATGCCTAGTTACACTCAAGGCCGCCCATCACCACTGATGTCGGCGAATAATTCGTCCTCAAAGCTGAAGCAACTCGATTTGAATACGGCTGAAATTTTTTACCAAGACGGACCAAACGAGCCTGGATTGGAAATGAGGAGCCCGACTAAATCAGCACAGACATCGTCGCCTAGAATGGGACCAATTCAAGAAGCAGGAACGTCGTCCCCGAATCCTACCGAATCACGAAGGCTAAATATTTTCCGATTTGCTAGTAAAAAGTCGCTAAGTCAATCCGATCAGCCTCTTGGTCGAGTGTTCAAATAAATCATTTATGTATGATGAAAATAACAAGAATTTATTTCGGTTGTATTTCCGACTCCCCGAGGTTTCCTATAGATTTGAATGCGATTCGATTGTGTCAGCAATTACGCGAATCCAAATGGCAATTGCCGTCGCACCAGCGTCTGGAAGTGTCTGCGCGTCCTTCGATGTATAGCTAGCACGACCGACGGTGGCTGTTTGATGAATAGTCTTCTCAGCGGCATCTTCGACTACCTTTATTTCTAGATTATAGGTAGTACGCAAAAAAAACTGACTTGAGCAACTTTGGACCATTGGCATTTCGAACTGGTATACGAGCTGAGAGCTTTAACAGCAGCGTCCAACGAATCAACCTAACGGTATAGCTTTTGATTTTAAAAGTAATGGATATGAAAGAAAATTATAACCATTGTCCGATCTCCTGGTTTTGCTCCTCCATATTTCTGAACCGCATACGTAGCCTTTTTAAAAGCTTCTGCTACATTTTCAAATTTGACTTCCTTTTCAAAACATGACGCAGCCGAACTGAGCATTAACGCGTAAAGCTGAAAAATTTATTTTTTATATTCGAATTCTGTTGTTCTCTTACTGCTCCACATGTTCCACCGACGGCTTGCTCAAAAATAAGTGCAATTTGTTGAAGAAGTGTCTGAGGATGTGAAATGTTCAAAACGCTTCTGGCCTTCTCAAGACCTCAAATTATGAAAACTGTTTGAATATTTGGAAATCAGATACTCTTCGATGCAGTAACAAATGTACTTCCACAATCGCCGTCTCCGGCTGCCCCATCTAGATTGTTTAGTTTCTCTTCGGAATCGACCATCGCTTTACCCAAATTGGAGAGTATTTTGGAAATTAGATCGGAATCTTAATAATCATTTTTTTACAAATATTCCATCATCTCTACCTCCTATTCCTCCAACTGGTCTGAGCTCAGCAATATTAATGTTATTTGAAGAAGCTTTTGGTTTACTCGCTGATTGAAATTGATTTATGTTAATAGCTGGAATCCAGCCAGAAGCTTTTGTAGGATAATCTAGGACATTGTTGAATTTATTACGTGTTAAAATAAAAATAATTTACCTAAATAGGTCAAAAGTTCATCGTTCGAACGCAAAACAGTAATGCTTATTCCATGTGCATCGATCGATGTCATATATGGGCCGCGGTAAAGTCGTTTAATCACCATGTTTTGTGTTTCTGTAAACTTTTATTTGATAGTGTCTATTTAATTAGTACTTACTGAACCATAAGACGACTTCTCCAGATACTATGCTCATCTCGATCGGACACACACTTCCGAGCTCATTGATCATAACGATCAGTTGATCACCAACTTGAAGACCGCATTTTCTTTTCAACGTTTCCAAGACATCGTTCACAATTTTCGCAGCATTTGTGTATTGTGCTTTCTCTTTGCCCGGTTCTCCATGAATTCCCATTCCGATCTCAATCTGATCTTCTTTCAAATGAGACTCTCTTCTTTTTCCGGGTAGATTGCATGGGTAAAGAGAAACTCCAAGAGTTGCGACATTGTCGGCCACAAATTTCGTTAGATTGTAGATTTCATCTTGAGATTTTCCTTGTTCAGCCATTGCACCTGCTATCTATAATTAGGAAAAACCACTTGTTATTACACTGTAGAATACAACACACCTTAATTGCTAAAACGGCGCCAGCCAATCCACGCCGACCTACTCGATTGCTCGGATTTTCAATAGCAACATCATCGCCAATTGTTAACACTTTTACATTTCCTGAAAATCTCTCTGCAGCAAGACCGAAATGAAGACGATCTCCAGTATAATTGATCACGATTAATATAGCTCCCGAACTCGATTTGGTGGCATTTAGCGCCGAAAGCACGTAATGCGATGGAGGCGATGCAAAGAGGTTGCCGGCGACCGCAGCCGTCAGCATTCCTTCGCCAACATAGCCGGCAGCATAAGGCTCATGCCCAGAACCGCCGCCTGCGATCAGAGCTACTTTTGATTTTGAATATTCCTCAATATCGCTTCTAAGAATCACCCGATTTATTTCCTTAATTTTGATTCCATTATTTAGCATTGTTTTTTTTTTCCTAAAATCGATCTTACCGGGTGAAACTTCAAGCCGCAATTTGTAAGCACTAATCCATAAAGAGTGTCGTCAACCACATCATTTGGAGAATTCACAAATTTCTTACTCATTTCTGAAATTCCGTCAAATTTCGACAAAAACAATTTATTTATATTTCATGATATAAATAAAATCCCCAATATCGATCGAGAGAATGATCTACATTTGTTGAATTGTACAATTAGAAAACACAATAGCATTGTCCTTATTCAAAAATTGTTTTAATCTAGTTTTAGTGATGACCTATATTAGAACAACATACAAAAAGATGAAAAAGTAAATGAGAATGAAAAATGAGAAAAGTGAAATGAGACAACTAAGAAGAAAAACACGCGTCAAAGGTGGACAATGAACGGCTAATATGAAATTTAAAACTGTTTTGTGATTAATTGATTGATTTAATCGACAATGGCCGGTGTTTGTTTACGAGACCGCGAATTAAAAATGAAAACAGAGGTCCATGAATAACTTTCGCCAATCTAAATATCATTGAAAAATGATTGATCTTTAATTTTTTGCTGTTATTGTCCGCACATTTATTTAAACAAATTGACTGGCGCATTGCAATGCAGGTCGATTGTTTTGTAGTTTTTTTGCTACGCTGACGACACAATTCTTTCGCGATGATAATTCAGCTAATATTCAAAAATTTACGAGGTAATTTCCTATTTTTATTTTCTATAACTAATAATTAGTAATATTTATAATTATATACAGCGTGTGGCATCACGTTGAAACATTTCCAATAAAACATTAAATGCTGCAATACATTTTAATTGTGATATTTCACAAGTAACAAAAGTGTGATTCAAAAATGTAATATGGAAAAAATGAATGAAAATTAATCACACACCTTAATTTCTTCATTTTAATGATTTATTTTAGTGTCAATGGGTCATAACTATGCTCGAAGGCCAGTATTTCAACGGTATCCGAACGCTTCATACGGAGGTCGAAATATATTTCGTCGAGACAATCATCGATTTCCACAGAATGCGACAACATATTCACCATTCAGACCTACAGTTTCGGTATTCAAGCTAGCAATTAATGATTTTTTAATTAATAAAATGTCTTACAGAGAGAGCAAAACCATCAAATAGAAACGGAGAAAACGAATAACACTTCTGGAAGAATTATCGCAAATTGGGGTAATTAAAAAAAGACACTTCAGCAAAAATTAAAAAAAAAAACATTTAATGCAGTATTAAAGAAAATAACAAAGAAAAATAATCGTTTGAATACTGAACTTTTTCTCGTTTACCTTTTAAGTAAAAACAAAATATTTCAAAATATTTGCTGTTAACAAAATTTTTTCAATTTAAAAATTTATTTTAGTTCGCTCAAATAGGGAACCTCAAGCGGAAGTATTGGATGTGTCAACGTATGTTTACAAGTTTATTATGTTTCGAATAATTGAGTATATTTTCAGAGATGAAACTGTTGAAGAAAAAGAAACTTCCCGTAAAAGGAAGTTATCGAATTCTGAAGCGGCGAGTACTGTGCTGCCGGTAAGACAACGCTGTGCCAATCTGTAAAAAAAATTTCAATTTCAGCCTTCTCAGAATCCAAAAAGAACATTTCCCCGTAAAAAGGTATCAAAGGTATTCTCTTGAAATACTGTTTATGATATTTTTTAAAGAAAATTCCGTACGGTTGTCCACCGTGGTGCATTGCCGAAAAAAGAAAGGACTGTAATGGTAAGTTCATGTTTGTGTTTTTTAACAAGTTATTTAAGACTAATATGCATGTTTTTTTTTGCGAAATTGTTAATAAATATTGGTTCATTTACTGTTAATTCAGTTTTCAAAAAGGATTATTTCATTCTTTAAATATTTGTACTAGCACCTCCGTCCACCGAAGCTAACCAATTTTTCTTCCCAAGAAAACAATTTTCGAGCATTTTTTCAAGTCAAAATTGTGCGTTAGGGCGCGTTTTCCTTTTATTTTTATGTATAAAATTAGTTTTAATTGATTTTTGATGAATAATATTCAGCAATATGAAATGGTGTTCTTTATCGTTTAAAGATATCAAACTGCCGAAGTGTGGGTAGTGTTACATCTTCTAACAAAAAAGGCTCTTATCAATACAATTTTGATAACAGTTATTTTATATAGATTTAATCCCGACTTTTATGTTTTCGATTATTCACAAAATTTGTCCAATATTCATTATAAGATTTTTATTACCGTCTTTCTGAAAATTGAAAATTTTTCGAAATTTTAACCAGATTTTCATCATAACGTTGTCAGTCTTATCATACAACATGTAGCTCAAAGATTTGTGATTGCGTACATTTTCAAATGAGATTGTTTTCTTAATATTTCAATAAATTTTTTTCAATATTTTTTTAATATTTCAAGAATTTCAGACGATTGCATTGTGATATCGGACGACTCACCCGAAATCGCCGAATCAGAGCCACCAAAAGTGCAACAGGAAACTAACGAAATTGGCGAGATCGTTTTTGTTGAAGAAGTGAGAAAAAATTCTGCGCATAAAATGCCTTCAACTTCATCCGTTGGATCATCTTGTGGCTCACCAACTTCAGACACTCTGAACTACTCGAATATGCTAATATCGCATAATCGACAAGAGTTGCCTAATGATGGATATTCATTGGATTGTGCCACAGTTCCAGGAAGTACTCGACGTGTCTTTGTGGACGTGCAGAATGCAAACGTGGGTACGGAAAATGGAGCGAACACTTATTCGGATTTTACTGTCTGCTCTTATAATGTTTTGTGTCAGGACACAATTACAAGAACGCAGTACTTGTATGGACATCTGAAGTAAACCGCGGATTTTCAAAACTGTTTTCTTATTTGGCAATCTATAGATATTTTCGAAATTTGATTGTTTGGTCACATCGATGGAAGAAAATGGAAAAAGAAATATTATCGATTGATGCTGATATTTTTGGAATGCAAGAAGTACAAGCGTATCATTTTAAAAATAACTTTCAACCACTCTTGAAAGGCAATTATTAGTTTTTTTTCGGAAAAATAGAAAAATAAAAATTCAGATAGATATGGGTCCCATTACAAACAGAAATGTGGAATGGATGGGCTCAAGCAAGATGGGTGCGCTATTTTTTACAAAAATGGTCCGATGCTTACTATTTCTTTTCCAACGCACTTATGTTAATTTCAGAAAAATTCAGTGAACTTTACTATCGTGAAGTAGACTATTTTGTAGCTTGTCAAACAACGCTAGATAGGGAACAAATCGGTTAGTTATTTATTTCCAAATCAATTATAGCTTGCATAATAATGAAACAATTTTAGCTCAAATTGTTGTTTTACGTTGCAAGGCAACCAATGAAGTTCTCATTATTGCAAACACTCATTTAATTTTTAACGAAAACCGCGGAGATGTGAAACTAGCACAGCTGGCAAAATTGTTCGCGAATATTCATGAAGTAAAAAACATTTATGAGATGGCAATGCTTATGGTTTGCAGGTATCTGAGAAATTTCGCGATAGCAGCCCTTCCCTTATTATACTCGGTGATTTCAATATTGAGCCGAACAGCTTGATCTACAAATATATTGTCACTGGATGGTATAGTTTAATGTTGTTCGAGCAAATGTCGGAAGTTATTTTGAGCTAATCTAAAATTAAAGTCGCATCTACATTCTGGGAATACAAATAATTTAATCACAAAAAAGCGATTTTCAGTCAAAAAGTAGAAGGTCTTGCGATTCGTTCGATGAGCGGCCAAAAGTCGCTTGAATTTAATGGCCCAAAATGCTCAGTCAGCAAGTTGCTGCCAACCGAAACGAATATTGGATTGCATTCAATGTTTCTGAGCCGCAATTCGCAAAAACCGAATATCCCAAAAGGACACATTAGTCATCCATTCAAACTGCGATCCGCATATAGTCCGTATAACAATGAACCTAACCTAAAGAGTATTTCTACTTATCATAAGGATCGCGGAAATCCCGATTTTATTTTTTATAGTATTCAAAATAGGGAGAATGAGGTGAGATCATGTATTCATCCGCTTTGATATCATCATTCCACATTTCAGATTAATCAAAATTTTGAACCCAGGTGCGAAAGCGCACGTCTTCATCTTTTAAAAAGATATGAATTACCAACGAATGAACAAATATCGAAAATGATACCTTGGCCGAATTCAAATGTTCCGAGTGATCACATTCCGTTAATTGCCAAATTTCGTTTGGTTTCCAATCTTACATAACATTGCATTGTTCTTAACTTTGAATAATATCTCATCAACATTCATGTGTTTAAACATTCTCCATAATTTATGTCAACGAAAAGAAACAAACAATGTTGAATAAGGAAACACCGTGCATTGATAAATATCGGGAAAAGAAATAATTTAGAAATGAAAAATTAATTTGTCGAAGTTAAAACGTTACATCCATTTATTGTTGCATTGGCTCTTGTCCGCTAGGGGATGCTCCTCCAGCTGGCGGTTGTGGTCCTGGCGAAGCTCCTCCAACAGCAGCTGGCTGGGCGACACCGATAGTTCGTGGATGCGTGTTTACCTTGTCAAGATGAACCAATACTTGTGAATCGGCAAGAACCTTGAATGGGCAGTCTTTTCCAACGATTCCAATGGAAGTGTTCTGAAATATCAGTTCACTTTGAAATAATTACTATGCATTATCGACGGCGGAAAATTGGCTATATGCCAAAAAATGTTTAAAAAAAAGATGTTTCGGTGTGCCTTTAACCAATCTTTATACATAGGCCCGTAAATTTACACTTTTAGTTTTTTGCATCAAGACCACTGCCGCTGTTTTTTAGCATTTAGGTAATTTTCCGTAGTCGCACGACGTCGACAATATATACCTGTGCGCTTAAGTTTTCCTCTGCTGGAAGAGTATCGCGAAGAGCAAGAAGAGCGTGTACGATAAGATCGTCAGCAGAAGCTGAAAATTGATATTCTCAATCGAGAACGATGTCTGTTTTTATACATTTTTCGAACTCTTCAACGTGTTTTTCTAAGTAAGTTCTTGCGGATTGAGATCGTGCACCGATAGATGTTCCGAGCATGCTCACAACTTCGGCAGATGGATCAGTTTGAATAATGTGAGCTCCATCTTTCTGAAAATAATTATTTAAACTTCGAAAAGTATATCTATAATACGTCATATCCGGCGATAAGCAAACCAACTCCAAATGGACGACGACCATAATATTGTGTATTAGCTTGAAGCTCTTAAAAAATAATGACTTCAAAAATACGTGTAAGATTGTTGCATACTCAATTGCATGGCCTCAGCCAGTTTCTTCATTGGAATAGGAAGTTTGTAGTCCCAACGCCAGCTAGAGCACTCAGTTTGCAAGAATCTTGCAAGAATACGCCCATCGGAAAGCAATCCAGCGATCGAAACACCGGAATGGGTATCAATTTCATAAATTTTCTTCTGATGTGAGCACAATTCGTTTTGAGCGCGTTTCAATGCAACAATGACCGCATGGGTTTCGCTCTTGATTCCAACGCTAGCGGAACCTTGTTTCATAGCTTCAACAGCATATTCAACTTGGTGTAGGCGTCCCTAAAGTTCATTTTTATTTTATTTCATTATAGAGATATGAAGAAAAAATGAAAAAGGAAAAAATGATTATTTATTTCTTTTTTTACATAGAAATTTTCTATAGCCTGTTTGTTATTTTTTTGGATTTACCCCTTAAATAAATACTTACTTGTGGACTCCAAACTGTGACATCACTGTCGTACTGGTTTCTGAACATTTCAGGCAGTTAAGTACTGAAAATATGATACATATATGAAGAAATATTTTTGAATCGAGTATCCTACGGAATTTCCAAAATAAAAATAAAAACCAACGAGCAACAAATGACAAAACATTTGAAAAAGTATTAAAATATTTGAAGGGATGACAATTGTGTCTGCATGCACCACATTTGACGCGCACATTGTTTAAACGCGTTTTTGCTTACCGTAGTGTTTCAACCCTTTTCAACTGAGTATTCAAGGAGCAGTGAAGTAGCAATTTAACAATTTTGGATCATTGCATTCTTTCGGTGTGGAATGTCAAATTTGAATTTAAACGCTGTGGAATTCTGGTACCGCAGTGCGTAGTTAAAATATGATTAAAACATGTGTTAGCAAAATTCAAATGATCTTTAAGTACAAATTTTATTATTTATGTCGTAATCTTATACATTTAATAAATTAAAATCACTTATAGTCGGCGTCCGGCGATAGCTGTACGCGGGTAGATTTACGGGAAATCTTTCGAAATGGTCTCGCACGGACTAACAGGTTATTTCAAATTTTATGGACCGGTTCGATCATTTTTTAATCGGACGACATTAGAAATTCCAAGAAATGCCAAGCTCATCAAGAAAAATGAAGCAGTTCACGTGAAAACAACAAAATAAGCATTCACGCGTGGCGAGACCTTTTCAAGGCGCATGCGCGTAAATCTATCCGCGTACAGCAGTCGCCGGACGCCGACTATATAAAGACTACTACATCCGTAGAAAGTTTCGAGCTCTCCAAATTCGGTCGTAAAGCAAAGTTTCTTTTGCGCAGGCGATTCCACTTTTTTTCTGCATTCTTTTCCAATTTTAGTATTAAATAAAACACTAGAAAAAATCAACAACGATATACGAAATATGAAATATACGAAATATTTCACAAAATTACTTCAAAAACTTCGAATCTGCTTTTGCGCAAATCAAAATGAAGGGTTCACAATATTTGATCAAAAAATCGTCGATTCAAACGTGGTCGTTGACCTCTTTTTCCGTACTATATAAAATAAAAAATTTTTTCTTCAAATAAATAAAAGTGTCATAAATGTGATGATTATAGTCCGGTAAATCTAAACTATAAATTTTGCACCAAATCACAGCCATTTTTTGGCGTTTCGCCAATTTTCCGCAGTCGCGCGATGTCGACAATATCTATTTATTGCCATCTCCCTTCAGTATAGCACTTCAGAAAAGGCTCTACGTGTGCAACGTCGAATAGGTAGGACATGACAAGCTTCAATGTACGAGGTATGTCACTTGTCATCACACCAATTTTCAAATATTCTTTAGTATTAAATTTGCGAGCATTTTTTTATACAAAATTGAATTTGCCAAATAATGGAACAATTCGGTGTTGGAAAATTGTCGAATTTGTCAGTTTTACTTAATTTAATCATGTTAATTTCTTTTCAATTTGACGATAAAAAATGACTCTTTTGCATTAGACTTCATTGGTCTATAACAATTTTCATACAGTAAACATATTTAATTAGAATGGAGATGATTTGAACCGGGCGTAAACGGTTTGTCCAACATGAATGTATGCCTGAATTTGGGATTAATTGTCATTTTCTTTAAAAATATAATTCGCTATACCGGATTTATGGTTGCAGCATAAACGCCAAACACCGGGCTGTCTTTGTGTGCATCACGCATTTGTCCTTCTGGTGCCAATCGAAACCTGTGTTTTAAATGCTCGAAAAATAAAACAATTTCAAAACAATTACTCGCGCAGTTTTTTCAGTGGTTGATTTTCTGGACTCATTGTGCCTTTTACAGGATCCACGGTAGTCAAAACGCATCTGAAAAGGGTATATTTGAAAACAATTATAACTACGAAAATATGCCTCGTGCATGGAGCAAAACATTCAAGAAAAGCATCGCCAATTTTAATTTGAGCCCATTTGTCTTCCTCCCATGGTTCAAAGTTTGCAATTCGAATTGATGGACGGAAATTGCGGAATGTAACCTAATAAAAAATCAACATGTTAATTTATAAATGTCCTCACTTTATCGGTTAACTTCTCGTTAAGTGCTTCCAAAGATGCATCAGTTATCAGAAGAAAAGGCGCCAAATCACAGTAACGAGCCTAAAAATTAAAATTTCAAATAAAGATTTATTATATTCTTTACATCATCCTTTCTGTTTGGAACCGGATTATTCCACCATTCTTTTTGCGGAACAACTGTTCTTTCAGTATACAATCCTTCTTTATAGTAGATTAATCTTGCGTCTTAATTGGGATATAAGCTTAATTAACCATTAATTATGTACTTGGTTCTTGGATAAACTCCTTTATGTAATTTGCAATCTCATCTCCACAGTCAAAACCATCCTGCTTCAAATTTTCGAAAAGTCTATAAAAGTTATCGTAAGATGTTTAAAACGTTAAACGAACGTGGCACGAAGAATTTTATTGTTTTTCACGACTTGTTCAAGATTAATTCGAACCGGATCCTTGTTAGGAGCCTCCACGGTAAGAATACCAGACTCTACGATTGAACGCAAATTCACAAGGCATGGCTTTTGACGAGCAGTGTAAAACCTGCATCAGAATTTAACTTTTATATACATAATTTTGAAATGCGACATACCTTCCAGTGTTTTCGTCCACAACCAAAAATGAGCGGTCTTCCATTTCTTTCAGAGCAGCTCCAAATTTTGTACATTTGAATGAAAAAACATCAACCGGCTTGCAAGATTTTATTGGGTAAAGATGAAGACTTGCTACAGTTCCAACTGGAATCCATTCAGAAAGCTTCGGTTTAGAAAGTTGAGAATAAATTTGACGGACCGTCTGATGAAAAATAATTAATACCGCTTTAAAAAAGTAGTAATAAGTACATGATAGACAACAAATGATCCAGCAATAAATCCAATCAAAATTTTCTTCTCGTGATCGATTTCAACCATCTTGCGCTTCTGAAAAAGTTTAAATTCGATCTGGTAATTGAAAAAACGCATATAGAAGAAAACAAATTCAATAAATTACTCGAGGATATCTAAGATTTCGATCGACAAATTGGAATAAAAATTCAAAGAATCTTTAAAGTTAGGCCTAAATTTCGTTTCTGGCTAGGTTCTTCAAAAGAAAAAAAGGATATATATATATATATATATATCCTTTTATAAATTATATTTCAAGACATCAGTAAGTGTGTTTCGTACAATGAAGATGATAGCCTTAACAGAAAAAAAAAGCGAATGTGGTTCATGCCAAAAATAAATTTAATATTATTTTTTTAATAATAATAAAGTTTCAAGTTTATAAAAACTCGTGTCCAATCGTTTTTTTCCATTCGAAATATAGTATAAGTGAATATACGGTAAACCGAGGGCTATAACGACCATACACGCTTACATATATTTTCTGGAAGAATAGGGCTAAACGCGGGAAGTTGCTTAGTATTCAAATTTTGGCGCCATTGTCATATAATCATCTTCGATTAGATCTAGTATGAAATGAATTGAAAATTACAGTAGATATCAAAACGGCATACAAAAATTTGTTGATTTCGCGCTAACAAGAAAGAGCAAAAACGGCTAACGTGTTTGATCATTTAAATTTTTCCAATTCATCCGTCTTCGATAGTAAAATCGTATTGTATGAAATTCTTGTATATGAATTTCTGTATACTTCGAATTTGAAATTCTTGTATACTTCGAAATTGATTAATTTATATCTGATTTTGATTTAAACCAAATTCGAAATCGGATTGGTTTTCGTTTACCAGAGATTTTGTCACCCGTAAATTTATAACTTCGTAGAAGTACACTGATATTCCAAAATTTAATTTCCTGCCACCGATCAGTAATTTAGCGCCGGCAATAATAATACTGAAAAATCAAATAAAACAGAATTAAAACAGTTAATGAATATCTCAAATTGGATTGCAGTGAAACCAGAAAAAATCATTTAAATGACGAAAGATAAAATTGCTGACAGCGAACATCGCATCTAACAATCTGCGTTTCTCACTCAATTCTTCAAAAAAGACACAAAGATTGTACGTCAACAGTGACCGAAGAACCGAGTTTATTGGCTACAAACAACTATATAAATATGATCAAATGACTTTAGTTCGCATAACAGAATCAGTTATATACGTAGGATCCTGGGTGTCATAAAGCATAAACGATGCAAAAATAACGGTTGATATTGTAAAAAACCACATAATGAGTTTCTCAAGCATTCTGAAATTTCATGAATTAATTTGTGCGAATTCCAAAAGCAGAAACCTTGCCAGCATTTGCCACTCTTTGCGTATTCTTCTTAAATGTTCCTGAGAAATCATATCCTGACGAATCGCCTGAATTCCGTTCAAAATGTCCATCAGAACACTATACATTGCGGGATCTGATTGTTTTGAGCAGTCAATCACATCCTGCTCGACTAGTGGAGCCGGGTTCTGCTGAAGAAACTCTACATTCGAATGGTTTCGGCCGTGTTTGCTATTTGATCTTTTGCGATTGTACAAGCAAAGATCGTTCATTTATTTGTCATCATTATTGCGAACATTTTCTCCATTCTATTTTTTCGTTGTTTTTATTTATAACTTATATATGTATATATGTACATATATAATTTTGACAGAGGAAAGTTGAAAAGCAACATATACAAAAGCTTTACTATATTTACACAAACGTCTCTTAAATAAAAACAAATATTTGTGGTAATTGTTCAGAAATGATCACTTCCATTCATGAATCAAAGGTAACAGAAAATATCATTTTAGGGAAATACGCCGGATTTGTGCGACTGGGGACAATAAAAACTGTCATGCACAGTAAACATTTGGAAATACCTTATTCATTTTGGTATCCGTCTTGAACAACTTCTGCTGAAATGAGATGAAATCACTCGCAAATGCCTTCTTGAGAGCTGATAGTTTATCCTGTTAAAATAGAGCATGCTTGCAAATAAATGGTACACAAAGCGTGATGATCGGCGGTGCACAATGAGCAATCACACACTTACATATTTCTTGAGTCGCATTTTGATCGATTCCTGTGTGTTCATCAATTCCCTTCCAAAAAACCAAATCAGAAATGAGTTGCGATTCATTCGAATTGACAATAGGAATGAGCGAAGTCGGCGGGTTATTGGGCGACCCTGAACCCTTCTATAGGAATTTCGGATATTTCGCATTCTTACAGCATTTCCCTGCATCTGAATGCCTAATGTGAACGTCGTGCAATATGTTGCCAAGAACATGATGAATATTAAGCCAATATAATATTGTCCTGAAAGCAAGTTTCCCGAATAGAATTTGATGGATTCTTACCGAGCAGAGGGACCGAATTCGAAGTTGCTGGCAATTTGTCCGACACCATCATTACTAAATTTAGAAGTCAATTAATTAAAATGTCGAAATTTTACCGCTTACATATAATGGCCAATGATAGCAGAGCAGTGACACCAAGACTAACCTTTAAACGAAATAAATTACTTTTGAAAAATTTTTTTTTCAATAAACTTTTTCAGTATTTTCCCCGGTGGATGAATGAGGCGTAAAAAATCCAATAACTGTCACAATGGTTATAAACGCTGAAGGAATGATCAAAGTGAACAGATAATATGAAGGATTCCTTTTGATGGCAAAGAAATACGAAATATCCGGATAGGGATTGGTACAGCAGTCGTAGAATCTTAAATTTCAAAATATTTTCAAATCAATTCAAATTTTTCAAACTTTAGATTTTTTCGATATCGGAAATCAATGAGCTTCCATTCCATATTAGGTATATAATGATTTAAAATAGTACTACTTGATCTGCAAAGTCTTCTCAACTAATATTATATGTATATATCTCAATTATTACATATTATTGACGTCTATTGGCGTTTGTGTCGGTTCTTCAGCGGTGTGTAGCATTATCTGCGATCCATCGTACGACCATGAAGCGAGCATTATGTAGCAGATTTGCTGAAACTCATTGCACTTGTTAAAATCGATTCAATAGAGAGTTGCCTGATCATATGGAAACTTTTCCATTTGAAGATCGCACGTAATGTCGGTAATAATCGACCGAAACAGGGAAATTTTTCCCGTATTTTCAATTTGAACATTCGTTTGCATTTCGTTTCCTTTAATATTCATATTGGCACTGAATTTGGCGAAATTTGATGGGGAAATTCAAAACGAAATCCAACTTATTATATACAAGAAGATCAGGCTTCCAAATCATTTCCGACGGCACATGAAGTGACTTTATACCGCCATAATCTTCGGGATCCCAAGTAAGAAACTCGTCTTGCCAATACTAAAAATATAATCCAGAATGGTGTAATACTCAATCTCAAAATCCGCCCACCTCTTCTATCCAACAATACAAAGTAATGATCTGATCATTTTCGTGAACTTTTTGAATTTGTTTAAAGTACAATTGTACTGTAACATTCGTTGCACCGGATGCTTCATCTTTCACGGGTCTGAAGAAACTCGGCAATGATTGCGAGCAATTTACTAATTACCTCAATTCTTTGTGATAATCATTAAACAAGTATTTCAGCAACTTCTTCTGCTGACAGTTTACTAAGTTCTAGGAAGCATAATTTAAAGTTGTTTGAAGAAATGCATTCATATATGAAATACTCACCACGAAAAGGAATGAAATGAGACAAAAATTGAAATGCATCTGAAGAATATTCAGTTGTCTGAAGAATGAATTTAGGGTAAAACGAAGAACGTTGAAAAAAAAAAATAAGAGAGAGAATATAATTAAGACCAAATTGGTTTCGTTTCTGTTCGCACAGAAAAGGCGTCGTAAAATTAAAGGGCAAAAGAATTTTTCCCAGAACCAAAAATGAATAATTAAAGTTTTTTGCGAAAATCCGGTGAGAATCTGGGGGAGTTCTTTTTTAGTATGAAAATAAAGGAATGCGGAAATTGGCGAAAACGAAAGAAGCAAACCTTCGCGCATTTATGAGCAAGTCACCGTTAATAATATAAAACAAAAAAAAGCGAGTGAAGAGCTTAATAAATACGGAAATGTTCAGTATCAAATTCAGACAAATTCGTTGTGTTTTAAATCAATTGTGTGAATTTTTTGAAAAAAAAAACCGATTTTAGAAAAATTAAAATAGTGAAAAATGAGTCGAAATGTTACTCTAAATTGGAAGAAAATCACATAGCGCAAACAATTGCCTAAAAAAACATAGCAGCAGCCTCATTCTCTTAAATCCTTTTGTGAGAAAGCTAAAAAGGAAAAAAAAGTCGGGGGAACAAGTACTGGCTTTGAATATTAGATTTAGAAAAAATGCTTGAAAGTCTAAAACTCGAAAATATTTTGACGTATTCCTGAGAAAATATTAAATGAGGTGAAATTTCAAAAATAAAAAGACAAAAACGAATGGAGTCTGTATAATAAAATTGGAATTTTTAGACCAAAATCTCGAAAAAATGAAACGAGTTTGTTCAATGATTCTAAAGGAAAACCAAGTTTGAATTCATAAGTGTGAAGTTGAAATAATTATGACACGTTTCCGGTTTTAATTATCGTATTTTGATAACCGGCTATTTCGAACGCAGAAGACGAGAACCTTCGAGTAAATTGTAAGCAGTTTAATCTGCAGATTTTCGGCTCCATAATGTGCATTTTTGAGAACTTCTTTGAAACTCGTCTCGAGCAACTTCCACACTGCTCCAATAGACGAACAGACTACCATTGTTTTATCATACATGTTGTGAACTTGGCAATTTTCTAGACTTTTTTTTAAATAGTGTTTGCTTTTTCATGAGAGTAGCTAATTTCATAGCCTTCCGAAATAGCTTTTTTATTTCGATCAAACAACCAAACCGGAAACAGAAAAAAAAAACTGCAGAGAAAATCCGTGCCGGCGCTTCGTTCGGAGGGAAAAACGAACATTCCATTTCTATTTTTTGATGGTAGGTAAACGTTATTTCCGTGGAACCTTAGACTACAGGGTGTCATTTAAGTTCCCGCACAACTTTGAAGACGTATATTTCTGAAACTAAAAGTCCAAATCAAACGAGACTCGAAATATTTTTTATCTATAGTACAACAAATAATTATCTATTAACTCTTTTCGATTCGGCCTCTTTTCGCAGCTATGACTTCGCGGAGACGCTTCGGGTAGGAGGCGACGGTGGTACGCAGGTATTCGATGGAAAGATTGTCCCATTCCGCCAGTAATGTCTTCTTCAGAGCCTCTACACTTGAGTGGGGTTTTGCGTTGACCTTCTCCTGCAAGACCCCATCACGGAGAAGTCAAGCGGGTTCAGGTATGGGGAGCAAGCAGGCCATTCGGATGACTTGATGAAGTCGGGAAAATGGGTCTGGCACCACTCCTGAGTAATTTTGGCAGTGTGGGCGGGTGCTCCGTCCTGTTGAAAGACCCATATCTTCCCACCGAAATGCGTTTGGGCCCAGGGCATCATATGCTTCCCCAAAATGTCCCGAACGTAGACTTCTTTGTTCACTTTCACCACCTGATCCACGAAAACCAGGGGCACTTCTCGGTTGAGCAGATGGCACCGAAAACAATCACACTGGCAGGATGTGAGGCTGGATAAATTGTTATTCCTTTCTCTGAAGCTTGCTGGGATGTCTGGGCAAGTACTCAATGGTTTTGTGAGTTGAATGCCGCCTCCACAGTGAACAGCTTCTCGTCGGAGAAGACAGTGGCGAGGTGTTCTCCAGACCGCGTGCGAGCAAAAAGTTGTTTTGCTTTTTCGAAGCGTCTCTGCTTGTTGACGGCCGATAGAATTGCCACTTTTTGGACACGATATGGGGTCAGTACAAGCTTTGTTTTGACGATTTGTTCCATAGCGAAGATGCTCATTCCCATGTCTGACGCCATCTTTCTTATGCTCCTGTGCGGTTTTCGCCTGATCCTCGTTTTGACGGCGTTGATCTTCTGAGGAGTGGTTACTGAGACGAGTCTTCCTTGTCTGGGAAGGTCACTGGTCGTATTTAGCTCCTTGAAACGTTTGTTGGTGTCTTAAACCGTTCTACGAGGCACACCGAGGCGTTGAATGATCTCTGTCGGGCGCTCATTTCGCTTATGAAGTTCGATAATGGAAGCGCGATGAATGTTAGCCTTCGCCATTTCTCGGAAACACATCCGAATGAAGTGAAACTTGGGAAATAAGTAAAATACACCTTATTTAACAAAAATAAATTGTATTGGTGCACGAAAAGTGCGACAGCCAAGCTTTTCATGGCGTCTAACTTTTGTGCGGGAACTTAAATGACACCCTGTATACGCATAATAAACAAAATAAATTCTATTTCTTAAATATCTTTATTGCCGAAACATTGTTAACGGAATTATTCGAATGCCACCATGGAGAACGTAAAACTTTAAAACGAGTTTTTTAATTTCAGTTTTTCAGAAAGCCCGATACTCCCGGGGGATCAACGGCGTTGGAATATGGATCAAAATTGGATCTATTCCAATTTGTTTTGTCGTAAAATTTTCAAAAGTGAACGAAAAAACATGAAAAACTGAAACGTAGGTCAAAATTTAATCGTGATCGATTCTTTTCATGCTTCGACAAATGAGTTTTTTGTTTAATTGATAATTTCAAACCTCCTTTTAGCTAATAATCTGGTTAATGGTAAATCAATGATTTTTTTGGCACAATTCCTTCATAATAAAAAAAATATAGAGGGTTTTTTTCAAACTCTTCAATAACATTCCTTTCAAATAATTATTTCATTATTGAATTTTTCTATTCCCCCCCCCTTTTTTTTGCCCGGAGAATCTAATTCTCAAAAAAAAACCTGGCTTTCAAATATAATAATATAGTATTTTTTAATTAATATTTTTCGGTTTGCTCAAAACAATAACTTGTAGAAAGGAAAAAGTGATTTTCACAATCTGCCAAGCGATTTTATATTTTCTTGCGAAATTTGCACACCATTAAAGAAGTGAAATTTTTTCGTTGACCCCCCCCGTGAGCACGATGCTCCATATTGTTTTTGCCCGCGGGAGTATCGAACCTTCAAAAATCTTACCAGTTGTTTTTAATATGCTAAAAATAGTTTTATTTGTAAACATAAGAGCGATTGTGGCGATAACTCCGTGCTCTGAAGCCAACACCGTTATAAAGTATAATATATCTGGAATCGATTTTCAAAGGAAGGTTCATTTTCACGATTACTTACGGTCATATAATGGATTTGAATACTCAACAATAAACATTGTGAGAAGGAAATAAACAGGACTGGCTAGGAAGAAGACATGAACAGAACACTGAATATACATTTTAGAAAACATATACTTGTTATAGATATAGGGAGCGGCAAAAATTCCCGGATTCAGCAATTTTTATAAATTTTTGAAAAAACAAAATTTTTTAAAACAATTACAAACAAATATTTTCATTTTTAAATTTTTAAAATCTCATTTTGAAAAAAAAGACGTCTTCTTTTGAAGGACGGGCTCGAGACTCTCCAAATTGTGCTGATGTCTCTTGCAGGCTTTGTCCTCCGGAACCTACCACCCGATAAATCTCGGATTTCACATCAGGCGAGCACGGAGGCCATTGGTTCAATTTTTACTTAGGGGCTAGGGATGACTCGAGTTAGAATACTCGTATGCATCTCGAAGAAGTTCTACCATCAGGATCGGCGATTAACTAACTGATTGACAAAAATCATCTGCTCATGAGTGTTAAGTTTGATGGGACTGTATCGCAACATTCGAAAATCCTTCGAACGGTGCCATAGCAGATATTCAAAGATTGCAGGAATATATTAATGGGATGGTGTTTGGTTATTTAGAGGAAAGGATGAAGAGAGTCATCAATGGTACGACGAGAAAAGTAGTGATTTTCGAAATGTCATAGCCGATACCTTCGAAGGCACATAATTAGACTCCAGTCTACATCTGATACCACTACCAAGAAAAAGAAGAAATTTTTAGACAATTTTGATAGAGGCATGATGAAGATACACGAAACGAAACCCATGAATATAACAACAAATTTCTATATATATTGCCGAACTAATCCGTGCAAATTTTTGCCGTTCCCTATACAATCATAGAAAATATGAAGTGCAATGAATATTTGTGTTCAAATTGTTTAAATTTCATAAAACAATAAATTTTGGCGAGCCAAAAATAGGGGGGGGGGGCATTGAAAATGCACGCGTTGCTCTCGAATGATTCCATTTACCTGAATACACAGACTAATCAGAAAATTCTTCTGAAGAGATAGTGTTTTTGCAGAGAATATGTGTTTGTTGAATGCCAGAATAAAAAAAGAGAGAGTTGCATTCAAAGCATTTAATGAGGTAATATAAATGATTGTCGAAAATGCGAAAATTACGAATAAAAGCACAAGTGGTGTTCAAATATCAATTATAAGACAATTCTCGCAGAAAATTTTGTTGTCGGTGCTAATAATCTCAAATCATTCGTTTAAAATCGAATTTCGTTTAAATGAATGATACGTTTTGTAGTTGAATTTTGATGGCATCCTGGTTTTCAAAATATGGGTATGCTTTTAATAATAATAATCGTCGAAATGCATAAAACGTATCCCAAATATTTCGCATATTTTGCTAAAGATGTACGAATATCAGGTTTTTTGAGAATCACTTGATTAAGTCGAAATTCAATTAAATCAACAATCGTTAAACCAGAAGCTGAAAATAATGGTACTCAA